GCTACTCAGAGTGAGGATTATCCTTGGTCGTCCTATGTGATATAAATGTAACATGTTGTTATTTGATGCAGTATATCAGGTAGAGTGACTAGCATTATTCATTATTCTTTTTCAGTTATTTTTCTTTATTTTCATTCATTTTTACCATCAACAAGTTTATAATAGTTATGTCTATTTAGAAAATCGATGTTCAATATATTATAGGGAAAAACTGCAGCTACATTCCCTAATCTTTTTGTTTTTTGCGGGCTTTCCCTAATCTTCATTTTGTACCAATGAAGGTCACTAACATCTCATATATATGCACTCGATGTTCATCTGGATAGAAACTGTCCAAAACACCGTCAGCTGGTCGAGAAATTTTCTTGAACTATCAACTACCATAACGATTTTATTGGATTTTGATATATGTTTGGACAGTGTTTTGGACAATTTTATTGGATATTGATTCCTTCATTTTCCAAGTCAACTGACGGTGTTTTGGACGATTTCTGTCCAGATAGACCTCAGATATATATTTATGAAAGTTTAGGAACCTCCGTTGGCACAAAATGAAAGTTAGACTAAAATTTCAAAAAAATGAAAAGGTTAGAGACCGCTGCTATAATTTTTCCTATATTATATTATTTGGAACTTAGGATGGTTCAAAAGTATTGGGATGCTGTGAAAAATAAAAGAGAAAAAAAAAAGGATGGGATATAGAGTTGCAATTACAAACATTTTGACTAAACTCCTTTAATTAAAAGGATAAACTCCTTCATCGTGCTTAGAATATCTCCAACGGATTTTCATGGAATATTGTCTGTGTGGCAAAAATTTTAAAAAGACTTACAATTCATGTGACGTTAATTTTATTAAAAAGTGGTCTCCAGTGGAAGTGATGGAGAGGAAGATGATACAATTATTTTTGCGGTAGTGCTCCTCGTCCAGGGCCAAAAATAGACCAAAAACCAGGGTGACGTGGCTTCAATTAATTATTATTATTATTTATTTAGAATTAAACGAAATGAAAAGAAACCACAAATCGGACGAAACAACACTCCCTCTCCCTCTCTCTCTCCACGAACGCGATTCCTCTGTCTTTCTCTCCACGAACCAAAATCGAAATGGGAGCCCCGAAATCCAAACCCTAAGCATAATATCGCATCTCCGACCACACTCCCAGCCGTGGTAACAATACGCCCACCTTCGACAAAGGTGTCGTTGTGAGTCAACCGACCATATCCCGTCGTCGTCAAAGTCGTCAGCATCTCCAGTCGTTGAAGTGTTCTCTGCACCGGTGCCCACGATAAGTTAATTTTTTTGCAGTTTTGCTCTGGCAATATGCTATTTATTTCATCATAAAGTGATTTTCGTTGTAGATGCCATGAGTTCAGTTGGGTATATTGGGATTAGTAGGGGGTATTTAGTATTTACTGAGTTTCTACTTGATCATTTGACATAGTTCAGTGGGGGTTTCGAAATGGGTTATCTGACAGATTTCGTTTAGGGGGCATTTTACTGTGTTCAATAAGCTGCAGTTAATTGTATTCTTCTATTTTTCTTGTTTTCACTACGTTGTGGATTGGAACTTAGATTTTTGAGTGAAAACTACTCATGAACATTGAAGCCTTTGGTAGTTTATGCATCTGAGCAAGTAGTGAAAACTATTCATGAACATTGTTGAGTGAGAAGTATGCATTTGAGGGTTCTGGCGAAAACAGAGGTAGTAAGACCATTATTTCTGTGTAATTTGAGGGAGGTAGATTTATCGAAGGGGAAATCATAAGCCATTGTTAATAGTGTTGAGGTCTGATTATTTTGCTTCTTGTGGATGATGTTATATACGGGAAAGCTTATCCTTTGTATATGTACATTTGTCTTCCTAACTTCAGCCAGTCGAATAACATTACTGACTTCACCTTTCTTGGTGCTGGTGGATTCCATGTTAGCATGCCTAGAACGAACTCCGGAGTCTGTCATAGTTGTAGAGGTAAAGATCACTTCTTTGCCGAGTGCAAAAAGAAACGCCCTTGCCCACTATGTAAGCATGGATTCGAGAAATGTTTTGTCGTGGAAAAGGAGACTAAAAATAAAGGGAGATTGTTCCTTTGCTGCAGTAACAATTGTGGATTTTGGAACTGGGTTATAAATGAAAAATCAAGTGGTCCGTCGATGAACCGTACAAAGAATGAAACAATTGAAGAAATGTCCCATTCGTTCTAATCTCAAGTTCGAATAAGTGATGATAAAGAGGTCCAGATTTCAGTGAATGTGACGGTGCAGACGGCAAAAGTAAGCGCGGAAGGGAATCTGAAAGAGGAGCTGCCAGCTTGATTAGTAGATAATGATTGAATATGTTTTCTTAGAAAATTTTGTATGTAGGTGATTTAACTTATGTATGAACTCTTGTACTATTAAGGTCTGTATGAAATGTTGCAAGAAAAGCTAATAAAGTAGATCATTTCCAAAAATATACAAGCTCAATTCATCATCATTAATTTTCACATTAATTTGATGCTCATTGTGTTCTAAGTTTCATATTCAGTGAGAGATGAGTAGATTACTTCACATCAATTTCAAAGATTTTCAAATGACTGACAGTAGAGATCATAGAAAGGAAGCATGGGATGAAATAATGAGTACAAAATGTTGGTTTTTCCATTGTTTTTTTGAATTGTTGTTTATGTACATATACATATTCTTCTTGAGATTTTACAGTATGAGATGTGTATGCATAGTCTTTTGAATGGCCTATTTGTATTGAAATGCTAATTCCTGTAATCTAATAAGAAAAGCAACAAAGTGGTTTTCCTTGCTAAAATTAACAGAAGCAATAAACTTATGAATTCCAAGAGCCAAAGTAGAAACTAATTCGAAGGTTGGGTAAAGAACAACGAGGTAAATTAATAATGAAACGAAAAGTACAATTCATTTTATTTTCACATATAGCTATTAACTGACAAAGTAATATATAAGTAAGTATACAATCTCCATCCAATTAACTTGAAATTTTTGAATAAACAAATGATTAAGTGGGCAGGCAAAAAGAGGTCAATCGACATAACAATAGGAAATTATAATAGTGGGTTCATAGTTCAAAAGTTCACCAAATGATTGCAAATCAATATAATAATTTAGTTATCAAAGACAGTAGAAAACTGGAATTGTTCCCCAATCGAGTGAGAGAAAGACAGTCTTATGAGGACATGAAAGTTGTGATAAATCTACACAATGATGGCAACAACAAACTGAAATTGTAATACCTTAATGATGAGGCTTCAAGCTGATCAGAAAGGAAAGAGAAAGACAATAAATACATTCGTTTCGAGCAATCTTATAAGCTGCCAGAGAATTCAAATATTGAAGAAACCAGTGCAAAGTTGGAGGACGAAATCCTATATATAATGGAAGAAAAACAGAAGCAATATATTGTCATTTTCACCATTTACAATGGGAGAAAAACATCAAAATATCATACAAATACTGCCATAAATAACCAACAATGCATATTATATACAAAACAAATCTGCCTCCTCATAAAAACTGAAATCATTCTAGTGCATTACAGATCCAGTAGCTGCCATAATTAAAATCCCACAAAACATTGAAGAATATATATATATATATATATATTTGGTAAAGCATGATGCCTCCAATAGTGTCACAAGCGAAAGAATCTATTCAATTAGAAAAGCACGTCATGTGCTACCTCGACCATCTTCGTCATCTGCTGCGTTTGGATAGTATAATGGCATACATTGACCTACATTAACATACAATGTGAACAGTTAATGATCAAAATGGCCGCATGTATTTTTAACTCATATATAAGAGGAACCTTTATACCTTGCGATGTATACATAAAATTTGGACTTTGGGAGTGGATCAAATTTGTACTTTGCGAGATATGTTGGGGGAGGGAGAATGGCGTGGGGATGGAAAACTGTGAAAGGGAGAACGACATTGGGGGCAACATCAAATTTTGTTGATGGAGCGGTGCTTGGATGTTGATTTGTCCATCAACCATATGACTTTGGCTTGTTATCAGTCTGTCATGATGGCTTGATGTCGAACCGGCATGTTTCTGCATAGAAGGTAATTGTAATTTATATTTTGAAACATCCACTAATTCGAAATAACTTTATTCGACATACCTTCGATTTCTTCGATGCAGTCTCCAATGGGCCTTTTCTTCTAAGTTTCCTCGGCGCTCCCTTTCTTCGAGTGAACTTCGGATCCAATATGGTAACGCTCGCAATATTCGATAAAACTGGACATTGAGTGTCAATGAGATTACTTCATGTACTCGATTTTGTAGTTGCAAGGTCTTTACATTGAAATCGTATCCACTCCATCATTGAATGTGAACGGATTTCATCATCCACTGCGAAGTTTGCCACCTCCGCGAAACCCTTAGACATCTCTTCATACCTCAATTGCGCAGGAGTGCTAACTAATCCATCATAGTTTACCGCGACCCTTGTGTGTGCTCTTAGAACATCTCTCCTCCACCTTCACAATATGTACCTCTCTGGAATATGTGTCACGTCATTCCACGCCAACACTGTGATCGCGTGTCTAACAAGTATTCCCCGAAACTCAAAAAGGTGGCAGGTGCAAATGATATCACATTTATCTCTTGCAAATGACACGATGAATGTCTTTATCCTCTTAGAACCCTCATACATTACTTTCTCTCTTACTTCGTAGGTCGCACTTGAACATCCATCCGAAGTAGATCGCACTTCGCAATACACCTTTCCCGTGAACTCTTCTTGAACTTCACGAAATTTTGCAATGGTATAAACTGATTGAAACTGTTGCTCCATTTCAAATTGTGTTGCACAAGGCACCATCTGCGAGAAAGACTTAAAATCAGCTTGGACCTCCTTCTCAACCTTACTTCTAAGGGCACATTCGTACTGTTCAACAAACTGCTTCAATGAGGTTTTGGAATGAACATAGCCATCGAAGAACGCATTCATACTCTCGCTTCTCTGTGTAGTTGACATCCCAGCCTAGAAAGTCGTTTTCAAGAAGCAGGGAACCCAACGTCCTCTGTTTTCGTACAATCCCGATAGCCAATCATTCTCATGCAATTCATACATATCAATCATCATTCCCCAACCATTTTCGAATTCATCACTGGACTGTGAATCATACACCAATCTGTGTAGAGCCCCAAATATCGAATGCTTATCCACGTGGTAGCCAAACTTCTCCGGCAACTTCTTTAAGATGTGCCACAAACACCATCTACGTTTGGTATTTGGAAAGACAATTTCAATTGCATTTTGCATTGCCTTGTCTTGATCAGTAATTATACCATGTGGAGCTTGACCGTGCATGCATTGAAGCCATGTTTTGAACAACCATACAAAAGTATTAGTGTCTTCGTTCGATACCAAATCGCAACCCAACAGTGTCGACTGTCCATGATGATTTACACCTACAAAAGGAGCGAATGGCATGTCGTACTTATTAGTGAGATAAGTGGTGTCAAATGAAACAACATCGCCAAACTCCTTATACGCTTACCTACACCGATTATCTGCCCAAAACACATTTTTCAACCGCGACTCCTCATCCCAATCAATATCAAAATAAAATCCCGAGCATTGTGCTTGCATCTTGGAAAAGTAAGATTGAATTGCTGTAGCATCTCCTTCTCCAAGTTTTAATCGCCTCACGCATTCTATGCAATTCTGGCAATCCTTTTCAATACAAGACATGTTCTCATAACCTCCAGCTTCTACAACTGCAGAGTTGTAACTTTTGTGAACCGCAATTCCTGCCAAATCATTCACCTGAAGCTTTCGTTTCATAGCTGCGCTCAATTGTCTGTTGCATCGATATAGTCGGGATTTAGAAGGACTTGTATCATGATTGTGTTCTAGGTTTACTGCATTAATTCTCCAATTTCCTATAACATCACAAGATGGAGATATTCTGGCTTTACAACCCAGCTTCACTATTGGGTACGGCTTCAAAGAACCACTACTATTACCAACACTTCCACCTTCACGGCTACATGTCAATGTCAAATATCTTAAAACACCATCTTCCCCTTTTTTGGAATTCCTTTTCTTAACTGGAAAGCCCACAGTGTAAGCATATTTTTTGTAGAAATCATACATATCTTGTTCATTTTTGAACAACATTCCCACCTCGGGTATAATTATGCCATCTCCCGTTAATGTTTCACCGCCAATTTTGTTCATGGGCTTCATAATGTTCTCATCCTCTGATAGCCCCAAGACATCATCTTGGTTGTCTTCAACGTCGTCCATATTTTCTCTTATTGCCAAGAAACAATTTGGTCATGTTTATTTCATCTTATTTTGTTGGAAAGAGAATTTCAAATCGAAGCACACGTTAATACAGTTGCATGACAAAGTTATTCATTACAACTTGGAAAAAAATTGATATAAATGCTAGTATTTTACAATTTGTGAATAATGGAACATTAAGGGGGTAAAAACGTATAAAACAAAATTAAGAAGGTAATTAAGACAGAAAAAAGAAGCATAATTTTATTTGTCAATTAACATAAACTTATTTAGCGTAAACTTTTATATGTAATAATGTTTGCATGTAGTTGAAGCAGCTTTTGCACTTCATCAACTAGCTTAGCTAAATCAATGACATAAGTATTTGGATTTAGAGTGATTCATGTCTTAATTACTCTTAATGGAATTCATACCATTAACAGTCTACAATTTCATGAATTTACATAAACAGCTCCAAAATTTGAGAAAGAAATAATGTAAAGCATAAGGGTGTTCAAAGAAGGTAGGCAGGGAGCCTAATCCTAATCCCCATTCCGAAGAGCAGTAATAATAGAAATGCAAATTGGAAGGCAGAGATCAATCATCACAAACAAAATGGAAGTAAACCCAATCTATTGTATGAATTAACGGCGAAATGTAAACCCAAATTATCTTTACTTGCTAAAATGAAATTTATGTTCATTTTAAACTAAATCTTTTGAAGCTTAATTTGCAGAGATCAAATCATCCCAAACAAAAATAAAATAATAATGAATGCATTAACAAGGATAAATAATGCACTTGCCGACACCTTCAAATTTTCCACAATACGCCGGTGTTCAAAGAACCATGAAGTGGGAGTGCCGACTGCATTTAAATGCTGGCAGTTTTTGGGTTCCCGACGACGTTGCCAGGCCTTCGAAGCTCCTTGCCGGCACCTTATAATTTCTGGTAATCGGTTGAAAATCGATTTACAATGGGTTCTTCAATTTTGCCCGACGAAGGTATTAAAAGAAATAGGCGTGCAGTGTTCTTCACTTTAAGAAAGATGCGTGAAGTGTTCTTCAATTTTGCCCAATGATGGTGTTGAAGAAAGAGGCTTTCAGTGCTCTTCTCTTTTGCTCAACGATGGTATTGAAAGAAATAGGCGTTCACTGCTCTTCAATTTTTGCCCAATTTATGTGCTCTTCAATTTTGCCGATTTCCACGTTCTGGGTTTCCCTCCAATGCTTGGGTTTTGTGCAAAAGACTTTTGTCTCTTTCTTTATTTGCCTTGCCTTCCCTTCCCTCCAATTTGCTCCACAATTAGTCGGCCACGTCATTTTTTTTAAAACCCTGTTTTCTAGTCTGTCTTTATCCCTGTCCAAGTAGAATTATTCTTATTTTTGTCGAGTCACAATGTCTCCTTAATTTTTTATTTATTTGTGTGTCATCTTATCTTATCATGTCCACCGTCCACGTCACCTGAATTGAAGAAGTATTTATTTTTTTCTTTCTTTTTGTATAGTGTCTATTTATTGATCATTCATTTTTTATTTAATAATTAGCAAATGCATTGAAGATGCTTTTAAGGTTACTAATCTTTCTTTGTGAGAGCTCATTACTATTTGCGATGAAATTTATGTTGGTGCAAAATGTTTTTCAAATTATTCTTGGCCCTTCTCATTATTACCAAATTTTAGTTATAATCAATACTACCCAACAATTTCATAAAACAGGTTTTCTTATAGTATCCTAAAATGTCATTGTTATTTGTTACACTTTTACAATGCTGTTTATCAACATAATGCACTATTTAAAAATGGAAAAAGCTCTAAAATAGAGTTGAATACAAGTCACTTAACTTTATACTTAGCTCCCGTTTGATTTCCATTATTTTCAAAATGTATTTTTCTCTTTCTTATTTTCATTAACATATTCTTAGATAAAATGATATTACACATAAATTCAAAATTTTTTCTTATTTTTTAACCACACATTCTTCATCAAATCACTATTACAAAGTG